CACTGTCTCCTCAACGAACAACTCAGTAGGCTGAAGCTGAGAAACAACTGCGAATGCAGATTCTGTGGGGAAAATGGGGAAACACCAGAACACCTTATCACTGTGGTACGGCTGATGTCGAGGATGGAGAGCTATATAGCGTCTGTGGAGCTTCTATAACTCGTTATAACTCCAGAAAGAGGAACGCACAATAGATCTGTAAGGTCGCAGTGATTAACTCCCCTCCTAAACATTCTACTACATTCTACCACCATCAAGAAAAACATTCTGCGAGTCTCTTTTTGTGAAAGTTTTTTTTATACTTTTTAGATACGTCCCAGTTTTGTTCCATCAGTCTCAGTTGCGGTAAAATATATATGATTGCCTTTAATTTAATGACCGGTACTCTCGAAGTTTCGGTATTATGTTGTGTGACTTAAAATACTCCTTTGTACGTCGTAAGAAGTAGAGAAAGTAAAAAAAAACTAATTGCAACTACTTTGAGAACTAAATATTATCCATTAAGATCTGAAAACCTACCTATGTATTACGAAGTAATTAAGGTTACGAAAAGCAATTATTACTTGCTGTTAATTGTTAGATTTCCGGTAAATATGGCCGGTAGTTGATTCATTAGCGTGTACCAAGAAATTTTAACACAAGATCAAACCCCCATTGTTCGCTCTTCTGTAGACTTGCAAAATAGAGCGGCATGCTTCAATATAATTATTGCCAACAAAATATGTGGAACAATTATTGTTTATAAGATATTGTTAGATGCCATAAAGCAATTTAAGAATAATTTTTGTTTACAATCTTTGACTAGTTTTCTGTTGAAAAAACCTAGGGGTTTCGACATTGAACCAGATATCCAAGAAATAAGAGATTTTTTTTTTGTAAAACGCTATAGGTTAGAATCCAAACAGAAACCAGTCAGCTTGTCATTAGCTTCATACTCGTAAATGAATATGCTTGATCAATAGGCATATTTCTCCCTTGTTAGAAGCCAAAAACAAAAAAAAAAAGAAAACTTTTAAAATGAAAATGTCTAAATATATGTAAGTACTTCAAAAACACGACAGTTTTTTTTAAACACCTAACATTCTGATAAATTAACATTACATAAAATAAAACTTAGAATTAACAATTACTACATGAAAACCTTAAAATTGTTTCAGAGGCAGAATATCCAGACTTTTTGGAGAAATGAACACGCCATAAGAGAACTTGATTTAGTCTATATTTGCCCATTATAATATTATAATCATATTATTATTAGTATAAAATTGCATGAATTATAAAGTTGTGTGATTATTGACTCACTAATATACGACTGACTTGAAAATGTGCATATCACACGAAAGTATATTTTGATTACGATAAAACGTATATTTACACTCATTGTTATTTATCAATACTATTAAAATGTTTTCAAGTTCATACATCAGTAAACATCTGTGTATAAATAGCGGACCATACAAGTAAATATCTAAAGTAGATATAATTCAATTATACACATTTCCCATTAACATATCTCATTCATTAGGACAATAAAAATAATAAAACAAACCTCTACCAGATTGTACGGTTTGTGTTTTTGGTGATACATCGTTATAACACAGATTAGGTATACTATATGTTTACAGATAAAACTCTTATCCCTAATTCGTGGTACGAAAATTGTTTTTTATGACGATGTGCAAACGAGTAAAATTTCCTGTGCGCAAAAATAAACTCGCGTAAAATAACAATAAACAGCGTAATAGAGAGATATCGCAAAACCGAATAGCGTGCATGGACGTTAATAAGGCCAGGTGTTATTTCCTTTACGTGAGGTGGTATTAACCTTAGTATTAACTCAAGAACAGTTAACCTATACAGTTCTTGGTATTAACTCTTTTCATTTCGGAAAGAATTCTGTTCGCGTCGCGTCCGCTATTTAAACTTAACGTAATTTTGAATTTAAAACTTTAAAATTGTTTTGTTTATTAGGTATTTTAAAACTAAAGGGCTAAAGTGCTCTTATTTCCAGTGTTCAACGTCTGCCAGTGGGTTTAGGGCAACAAGCAACAAATTCTTTTAGAAGGGCTAAGTCGTCATCTGCTGTAAACCTAAGCCTCTTTATAGGTTCTTTAATATTGGAAGAGGTGGAATCCATATTTTGGGCCATATTTATTTAATTAAAACTAATCCCAGCTACTTAAATATCAAATTACTTAATAAAACTAAAGTAATAATTCAAAACAATTCAAACATAACCTAAAATAAAAGATCTCGCCGGCCGGCCCCGGTTGTCAAAAATCCGCACATGCCCATTTAAGCAATTTTTAAACGTTATTTAGAATTAGCGCTTGGTGTAATTGATCCGCTAATTACGTCAGGAGGTAACGTTATTAGCGGATGTTGCGTTAAAAATTGACTGGCGCATATCGTAACCATGATAAGGTACGCGTAAATAAATACTGCATGACGCTATTCGGTTTTCCGATATCTCTCTAATAACTGAGCCAGTCAGGCGCTGTGCACAATTTTAGAGGCCACAAGTGGGCGTGCTATGTGCGCAAACTAGTAACCTAACTAGTGCCCGATTCCGAAAATTGGAACCAGGAAAAACAATAAAGAAAAAACAAAGTTTATAATCTGTGGTTATAATAAGAATAAGTGAATAACAAAACTGAATAAAAACACTGGGTTTGTTTCATTAAATTATAATGTCTTTGGGTGGTGCATCGTCGTTGGAAGCATAGGAAATTCCATGCAAATTTTGAACTGTCCAAAGATTGGCTCCCTTGTTGATTAGTACAGGTCAATAGTTACAGCGAAAATAGGTTTTTTAAAGGTCTGTGTTTGCGGAATATTTCATGCCAATTTGAAAAATTTTGGACAAGTTTTTTTTAACTAATTTAAGAAAAATTGCATCTATAGCATCTTGCGCCACCCGGTATACTTTGTACATTAATAAGATATAAGTACCTTTACAGTATAATTATTGTATTGGTGTTAGTAAGGAGTAGTTTAAAAAAATGAATAAAATATGAAAAAGAAACATCAATTGCAACTAAATAAAAAACAAAAACTGCTTCATTTATTAAAAGATATTCATATTCATGGTTACAACTATCATCCCCTTGATAACAATTAAACTTTATTAACTAGCTTACGAGATATTAACCCGAAGTTAAATGGAAACTTTCTTCATTAGGAACGGTGCATATTCCGGTTTAATATCCAGATAATATGGCTCATATCATCATTAACAAGTTTAGTTCGTCAGAAACATCGTAGAGTTTAGGATAATCGTAGGCTTGGGAGATGTGTAATAAATTAATAAACTTATCTTCGATCTAAAACTTAATTTCAGCTTACTGTATTACTGTTTTTTTTTTAAGAAATATTTATTAAAATGTTTGAAACAAAAATACGTATACAATTATTGTAGCAATAGAAAGAACTCACAGGTATTCTTATTGGAACGGAAGCTGAATTTAAGATGATTTTAGATAATATGATAAATAAAACAGATAACTTAAAATTTTCATGTATTTTTAAGTACAATATATTTTGTTTTAGTGGACTGATTTAGATATTTTTTAAGCAATTTGTAGCTAAATCATTTGATTAAAGTTTCCATCTGTTCCTCTTCATACTATAGGAAAAACAAAATGTTATTTTGGCGTCAATTTGAAACACCCTGTCGAATGGTTTAACAAAATAAGGAATTTAAAAACAACTTTATCACAAAAATGGAATTTTTCTCGATGGTTTATTTTTTGGTTCATCTCGATAGCTTTATTTTTATTGGAGATACTAGCGTGTACCCGCGACTCCATTCGCTCGAATTAATCATTTGTAATGGTAATGATAAAGTAAAGCTAGAATTTCCATTAACATACAAACTGGATAAAATTTTCTCACATTTATGTCAGCATGAGAAAAAACAATATGGCGATATTATTATATAACTTGGTAATATTTGAGGGGTAGTTTCATCTCGTTTGAATTTGACTTCCGAAAAATCCGTTTGACAAAAATAAGCTTTTTACGTCAAGCAGTTTCAGCAGAATCGTGGTTAATCAATTACCCAACTTTTTGGAACACCCTGTATGATTTTTTAAAAAATTTCAAAATATGTAAAATTACAAAATAAATTATGCTTGTCCAAGCGTTTTCCCGAAAGACTAACCGTTTTTTAAATAACAAATATTGTAATATTTGAACGACGTTTTCACCCTCTTGGAATTTGAGATTCGAGAAACCCCTCCTTATCGAACCTCTACACCCCACAATCAATCCGTTTACCAAAAATCAGCTTTAAACATCAAGCAGTTTAAGCAGAATCTTGATTACTCAGTGGCCATATTTTATGAAACAAACTGTATAAATTTTTAAAAAATCTTAAAATATGTAAAAAACAAAATAAATTAAGCGTGTCCAAACGTTTTCCCGAAAGACTAACCGTTTTTTAAATAACAAATAGTGTAATATTTGAGGGACGTTTTCACCCTCTTGGAATTTGAGATTCGAGAAACACCTCCTTATCGGACCTCTACACCCCACAGTCAATCCGTTTGCCAAAAATCAGCTTTAAACATTAAGCAGTTTAAGCAGAATCGTGATTACTCAATGGCCATATTTTATGAAACACCCTGTACACATTTTTAAAAAATCTTAAAATATGTAAAACAACAAAATAAAATATACGTGTTTAAGAGTTTTTTCGGAAACTTGGTCGTTTTTTAAATAAAAAATATTGTAATATTTGATGGGTGGTTTCACCCCCTTGGAACTGGAATTTCGAAAAATTCCTTCTTATCGAACCTCTACACGCTAGAATCAACCTGTATGCCAAAATTGAGCTTCTTACGTTGAGTGGTTTGAGCAGGATCGTGATTAATCAGTGAGTCGGTCACTTAAGGATTTTAAATACTAGTATAGATTCGCGTTTCAAGAAGACAGTAACGATTTACAACCTGGGATATTTTTTTGAACTATATTAATTTAGAGTACATATAATTACTCACCACTCCACCGCCAACTGAGTGCACCAGGATGGATTTCCCTTGAGTAAGTCCGGCCACCTCGAAGAGCAGCATGTAGGCGACCGCGTAGTTCATGCTGATGGTAGCTGCGTCCAAATATGACAGTCCTTTTGGAAGTTTGTATACGTATTTAGCAGGAACGGCTACCAATTCTGCCCATGCTCGGTATTCTGGAAGGGCCACCACTTGATCTCCAACCTGAAAAAAAAATAAAATAACATTATTATTTACTAGATATTTACTTATTCATGATAATATCATAAATGTAACTCAATCATATTCAAATCTAGAATTCCACTTTATCTAAAGAAGAAAACATTCGACCAATGTGCATGTACTACCAGTCATGACCTATGCATGCAAAACTTGGTCCCTTAAAACGGACATTATAAGGAGGAAAGGAGAAATATCTCCGTGTATTGAAAAGTGGTCATAAAAAAGGGAAGAATTAAGATGGCGCTGTTGTAGCAAAGGTTCTAAATTTGAAAGAAGCACCAACAATAATTTTTAGAAAAGGAAATAATTAAAAAGAGATAGATAAATATGCAATTTCTGAAGGCGCGTGTTGGCTCTCTTTTTAACTAACTTCACTTTAATTATAAAAGTTAAGTTCAGTTCGCAGAATTATTGCTTGTTAGCGCCACTGTGGTAATTTTGTAAACCCTTATTCGTTCTCAATTTGGTGACCACTTTTCCAAATAGAGTCCCATAAGAGATATTTCTCCTTACCTCTACTAGTGTTGCACAAGACAAGAATTCTTGTCTTGAAAATCAATTTCTTCGAAATTTTCAAAGTCTTGTCTTGCAGATTTCTTGAATGGCAAAGTCTTGTCTTGTCTTCCAAGACTCTTGAAATTTCTTGTCTTGAAAAACATTCTAACAAAAAGGTACCTAATAATATTTCTATATTTTATTTCACAAAAAATGTATACGGAAAAATGAACAACGATGCTAATTTTAGCAAAAAAAATCTTAACGGACCCCAAACGAACTACGTCAACTCGCCCGTTTGACGAAACAGGAGCCATTACCAAATAAAAGCTGAATAAGAATAAGTAAGGTTAAGTTCGATTTATGGGTTTTGGCTTTGAATAAGAAGACTAAGGAAGGAGCATATCAAAAATCTTAGGTACACCGCGATGGGCCTCAAATATGGCCGACTTAAATTCCGGTTTATCAGTGTCGTTCTAATTTTATTTAAAAAATGTAAAACTATGATGTAGAGTAGACGTGGGGTAGACTCAATAATTTGTTGTTTTATTTTACGTTGAATAAATGTTGGTAGTTATTAAAATTGTTATAAAAGTATATAATTCTAATAAAAATAGATAAGTTATAATAAGTATTTATTAACACAAACATCCGATACGCTACTGAAGCAGGTAAGTCAAATTAACGTATCTAAATTCTTTGACATCTAATCTTTGACAAGTAATAAATAAAAGCTAAAATGCAAGAAAAATATATAATTTAGTTAATTTAAGTGAATTTCATAAATGATCGGTTTACTACACGTATGTATATTATATAGTCACTTACTAGCGAAAAGTTGTTCCATTATTTCACTCAATTTTTGCCGAGATCTACCGCACGCTACACAACCAACTATTTTAGAGTCTTTTTCGATAAATCGCGATAGTGTCACTGTTAATTTAAGTTCTGCCACAATTTCCATCTAGATTTACTACCTTTATACAACTATCAGTAGTAGAATAAATAATAAATAACATAAAATAAGCTCCCTAAAGACTGACAAATCCACAAAATTTCAAATCAAATTCAAATGTGTCAAATGAATCAGACATGAATCAGATCCTTGACAGAACTGTCAAGGATCCCCCCCCCCTAGAGAGCTTTTATGGAGCCTTTTCCGCCCACCATGCATGAATACAAGGATAGCATTATGCTCCTTCCTTAGTCTTCTTATTAAAGGGTTTTGGCAATGACTAAAGAATATAAGGACATGTAACGCCCCTATATGGGCTGCAGCAGAATTTGTGACCTTTTTTTTGTTTTGGTGGCAAACAATGAGTCATCGTTTGGTCACCAGCGACAATTTTAGCGATTTTTAATAGTTTGTGTGTAGTAAACTTTGTATAAACTTTATTATAATGGTGATTAGTTGTTCAGCTTTCAAGTGTAAAAGCAGCAGCGATAAGAAAGAGCCAGGAGTTACGTTTCATAGGTAAATAAACAGTCCACTCCAACTTTTTAGCGTTTTCTTATTGAATTCGATAATTATTCTTCAATTTCAATTAACATCTATATGTACTTGATATGTGCTATACGTCGATACTAGTTTTGTACCTTTTGTTAACATTTTAATACGTTTTTTTCGTAATTAATTAGGATGATACACCATAGGCGTAGTCAAAACAATTATCAAAAAATATAAATATTGCTTCAAACAGCTAGGTTAAGAAAAATATGTGCCACGGCACTGCTTGATGGCATCGTCACAATTTGCTCTCGGGTGTTATTTGTCCTTGGATTTTTTAGTCATTGGGTTTTGGGTTATTTCGTACCTAACCTTGTGAGTTAAGTTATTTAAGTATTATTCACTACCAAAAAAAGTTTTAATATGAAATATGAGCAGTATAAATAATATAAGTATCGATAGTGATACCGAGGTCCGAACCGTTCCAAGACAGTGGTAGTGAATTCGCGGTTAGTAATAGTGAGCAAACAAACACTGACAATGAATGTGAGAATTTAAGTTTGGATACAGGGTGTACGGGAAGGTCATGCTAGAGTGTACTATTTGCGATATTTGATACTACTTTTTGTTCGCGGAGGGATATCGTGCATGAAATCTAGTACCAAATAGCGCAAATAGCGTGCTCCACGAACCTACCATTAGTTTCAACTACCGTTAGTTTTTTTTTATAATACCAGTATACCAATATAATTTGTGTATAATACCAATTACCAATATACGGTTTGTTGCCTCGACTTTATTTTATTTCATTCTCAACTCTAAAACACTGGCTATGATAGAAAAAAATGAACACTGGTCAATTTTAATACCGGGTTTATACAAAATTTGCATAAGTCGTAATCATAATCACAGCCTTAATCATCGTCATAATCACAACGCAATTTTAATGTGCGTTTATAGAACATTTTCATAATCATAATTTTTATGTTCATGGTAGATGTCAACAGGTTTATAAGAAGTGGATAGTTTAACTTTTATGATTATGACTATGATTGTGATTACGACTATGTAAATGTTGTATAAACCTGGCATAACTTGCGCAAAGACCTAATTATCGTTTAAAAATGTATAATTTCTAACTTCTTAGAAATCTTGCAAGACTCTTGAAATTTCTTGCATATTAAAATCTTGTCTTGTCTTGAAATTCAAGACAAGAAATTTTGAAAGTCTTGGTCTTGCAAGACTTTTTCAAGACTCTTGTGCAACACTAACCTCTACCCTCCATAAGAGGGTCTACTAACAGAGCATTGTATGCTGAATATGCATCTAAAGCGAATGGGATTGACGAATGAAGCTATGTGCTGGATCTGTCAATCTGAAGAAGAAACGATAGAACACATTTTATATCAATGCGACAGCCTGGCAAATGTGCGGTTCTCTGAAATGGGCAGTGATAGACCATTGACAGAGAGCTATATTTGGCTATATGGAGGGTTCAGTGTTTTTGAAAATTTTGAGATAGGATTGGAAAAGTAAAGATTTCAGTTAACGTCTCTTTTTTGCTGCCAGGGCTAATCTGGACGGGGCCTACTTTGTTTACGCGGAATCCGAACCGCGGTCCTCGGCTATACCGTCAATGACCTACCGGCTTGGCAAGTGTCTAAATCAACCCTTACTCGCGAGATATCCGATCTCATCCGGCCTCGAACCGGCGTGAATGAGCAGTGTGTGTCAATAGATTTTACACTTTTTGCCTTTATTGGACAACAGCACGATACAGAGTTTTGAACCGGTCACCCGTCCATCCACTAGTATCTTATGTCGTTTAACTTCGGTGTTCTAATGGGAACTGGTGTTTCGACGTAACTGGACCGTTGCCCTGATAGGATTGGAGATAACCTGATAGGATCTTCATAACGACATGTTGTAAAATATTTGACTCAGATTTTGTCGTTATATGGTTATATGTTTCAAGAAAATTGTTGAAAATTTCAACACGGGAAAATACTAAATGCACCCGGTATATCAAATACCGGGTGTGTCTCAAAAGTGGCTCACCTCTATAACTTTTTTATTTTTTCGGATAAAAGCTGGAACATATATACGCGATCGCGACCACGACCACACACTGAATTGCGTCCATTGCAAAGAAATAAAAGAAGAAGTGTGTGTGCGGCTTATTGTCCGTGGTCGCGATCGCATATATGTGTTCAAGCCTTAAAAAAACGAGATTTAGTATGTTCGTATACGACATAAATTAAGATTGATTGACGTATTCAATTGTTTTCGGTCACTTCCTGTTTCACTGGAAATTACTACAATTTTAAATTTTTAAATGGCACCTTCAGTATTTTTTACTTTATTTGATAGAAAATGACAGTTTGAATAGAATGACATATCATAGGTCAACTTTTGACATTCTCGCTTGAAAAAAAATCGTATTTTAAATTTAAATCAATGTGCCATGGCTCAAGATTTCATTTCAAATAGATTTCATCATCTAATGTTTTTCGTGCGTCTTATCCTAACCGGTTAAAAGATGCCTAAATCGTATTTTTAATCATCTCAGTTTTTTCAAATAGAACGAATGTGGCTCATTAGCATATTTGGAAAAAACATTTTTTTACGAATAATTTGGTACCACACACTTAGTATTTCGAGTCAAAATGTCGTTATGAACCGCATATTATAATTTCAAATAAACCATATGCCAAAATGGCAAAAATGACATGTAATACGTCATTCTATTTAGAGGGTCATTTTCTATCGCGCTATAAAGTAAAAAAATACCGTGGGTGCCATTTAAAAATAAAAATATGTAGTCATTTCCGGTGAAACAGCAAGTGAATCGAAAACAATTGAATACGCCAATCAATCCTAATTTATGTCATATGCTAACATACCAAATCTCGTTTTTTATATTTGAGAAAATAAAAAAGTTATAGGGGTGAGCCACTATTGAGACGTATCCGGTATAATTAATTGTCGAAATTGTAAAAAAATAATTTAATGTCTCAGAATATGTCTTCAAAAGACTCTA